ATCTAGCATACACACGCATTAAAAACGTACGGTAGCCATCCAAAGTGCAAACACAAACAGTCCCACATTAGAAATGCAGTTCATCATGGATGGTAGCAAAATTCACCAACAGATCAGCAGTTGCACACGCGATTAATTGTAATCACATATTGGCACAGCCAATATTGCGACAACAAGCATCGCGCCATTTTCTGAACCTACAATTCACACTATCACGTTGGTCACGGTCGAAACACATTTCAAATGAAATCCGCAGCTCACAGTAACACGCCACGCACTCAACTCAGAAGCTGGGCGACGAAGCTATATCCTTTCAGTCTACAAATAGAGCAAAAATTCAACGGCCACCGTCTGGCAGAAGCAAAAAATGTGCCACGGGTGCAAACAGTGGCCGTGCCTAGCGTCCATTTTGACATTTCTCATGATCTCAAATAAATTATTGCATGCATTGACCATTAAGTACATTAGTATCATCTCACACTTTAAAAAAATGTATCCCCCCTTGAACACCTCCCTTCCTGTACTTGCAAAAAGGGACTGAGAACCCCACAGCACACCAATATTATTTCTTTCTGTCAGCTTCCCTGTTCATTGTTTATACATTCCTTCTTTCCCCAAGTCTGTTTATTCGATCTCTTTAAACTAGTCTCAGCAGTGAAGTAAATTATTCTTGTTAGTTATACAGTAGAAAACAGGTTGGCAAATATAAAACAGCAAGGTGGAAAGTCGAAGGCAATAACTACACAAAAAAGCGGGGAAACACTGAGTACATGAAAGTTAGCTGTTTATTCTTTACAGCACGTTGCAGAACCAACACCAGCATTGTTTGGCTGCTTGTGAGTTTTTCTAGGCAATATTAACCTTGGTGCTTTATTAATATCCTACCCCAAACAGGAAAATCCACATATCACGGGACAGTAATATTTCAGGGGGTGGTAGATAGGCTGCATGCAGTGGTGGGACTTAGCTACACTCTACCGTGGGACGAAGATGAGTTGGGGTTAGGGCCAGTTCTAGATGTTTTAGGGTCGTTAAAGGCATCGGTAAGGCGGGAACCCCAGTTCTCTAAAATGTTGGACTGTCCTGTGACGTCTTCTGGGGTAGTATATTTATAAAGCACCTTAACTTCAATAGTTTACCAATGTTTACTAAACGGCCGTCTCCCGATAATACAGTCCAAACAAACGCAAAGCGATCTGCTGCCCACAGAGCATTAAACAGTGTTTGAAGGTAGGAACTCGACTTCATCGCATCGAGCTTCAGCCAATTTAATTTTGTTTCTCTTCACAGAATTGCTGGTTCTTAACCGAAGCATGCGATTTCGTAGATCCGGCGACGATCCACAGGTTTTACCGAAAAACAATCGCAAACCGACTTGGACATGCATACCAGATGAGGTCCTGAGAAGTATAGGATGCCGACGTGATGTTGATCACATTATCCATCGATTGCAAATTGATCGCTAAAACTATGAGTCTTGCATCGTATGCCTGAGAGCTCTGGTGTAAAATATTTTACATGTGCCTATATGTTGACCGTTTGGGAGAATCTACTGGCCATCAAAGAACATTCATAAAATAGAGCCCATTGATAAGTCTCTTTAACACTGTGTTCATATGGGTTTGGGCCACACTACACACGGGTTTGGCAAAAAGTACAAATGAGAAAGAACAGAGTCTACACTCAAATAGTTACAGGAGAGAAAACGTTTTTTTTTTTTTTTCAATAAGTAACAGAGGAAGAGCGAGGGAGGGTAAGATCATATTCAAACCTTCTGTTTACACAAGCGAAATTAATGTTCGGCTTTTTGTATGTGTGTTTGTGCGCGCGCTTTTGTGTGTATGTTTTAAGTAAATGAAATACTCAACTGACGAAGCTCCCACACGGATATCAATTAAGACGAAAGACACCAGCTCTGCAATAGGACGTCACTGGCTTGAATCCTGTCACGTAATCGATAGGGGCAGTGCATTCTATTTTATTTACCGCATCCCAAACAGGAGACTGATGAATCTAGAGTAGGCTTTATTAATTAACAAATATACCAAATCCCCCTGTATGCAAACAAAGGGAACTTGTAATAAATTGAAATGTAGCGACTCGACTATCTTGATATCAGTTGACCATATTGATCTTCTGGTGATTATACGAAAATGGAGAGAAAAAAACAAAGAGACAGAGAGAGAGAGAGAGAGAGAGAGAGAGAGAGAGACAGAGAGAGAAAGAGAGAGTTGCGCACCTGCCGAGATACAGCAAAATATTCCAGGTAATAAAAACTGCAATGTATTGTATGAGCCTGCATTATTTACATTCACTACTGGAAAATATGGCTTTGTTAAATCGTTTCCTTGTTTTTCTTCTTTTTGTCAGGTCATTTTCCGATGAACCCAGAGGTGTGCGTGTTGTGGGTTGCCAGTGACGTACTGATGTGCTCTGCCTCGATTTGGCACATGTGTACTATGTCAATGGATCGTTACTTTACTTTGAAATACCCCATGCGATACGGCAGAAACAAGACAAGACGAATGGTGGCCGGGAAGATCCTTTTTGTCTGGGTTGTGTCCGTGGCCATATCAAGTCCCGTTTGCATTCATGGTTTCATCGATACTTCAAGCGTCTACAGGAATGGGGACTGTGTGCCTAAAGTCAAGAATTTTGTTATTTACGGATCAGTATTTGCCTTTTATATTCCTCTCCTGATCATGATTGTCACGTACGTATTGACCACACGAATTCTACGGAAAAACCAGCAACGGATGAAGCACATAGAGAGATCTCACCTAAAGCCGAGGCTAGCTCACGTGACCGCCCAGTGTACCGGTTTCGCAATTCCAAAACTATTGACCAGTCTCGGAAAATCTAGTAGGTCCACATCTTCGTCACGAGTGATGTTTTCCCGAGGTAAGGCCAGAGGAAGACCCGTAGGGTTGGGGTGTGTTGGTGCTGCCAGTTCCCCGTTTACTGGAAACGACAACTTGGTCAGCGATGCTGACTTTGGTGAAGACAGTGTCATACGACGACGAGATCAACTGGGAATGGTTTATCTAGCTCCTCCCACCCCACAAACACTCACACCCGGGTCTTGCTCACCAGTCTCAGCACGGATGCCTCTAAACTCAGACACGGATGACAGCGAGAGTGAAGCCACCTATTTCAGACTCGATCACACGTCGCTATCATCTCGTTCGTTAAATACACCTAGTTGTATGTCCACCTCAGAAAAGTCCTTGCACGTCAGAACCCAGAAAAAGCAGCTTCAGCAACAGCAGCAGCAGGAGCTGCATTCATTACGACAGGAGTATCACAACCAACGACGCCTGCACAATACAGAAGAGGTCAAAACTTTATTATCATCTCCATCTCTTATGTCCAGGGAGCAAGACTTTTCATTTTCTGCCCCAGCAACGCCTTCTTCACCGGCGTCATCACTGGCTGACAACGAAACTCAGCAACAACTAGAACAGCATTCGCTATCAAACAACAACGACGGAATTATCAATAATCCTTTTACATTACTAGAGCTAAAATCTGTATCAGCGATAAGGAGTCCTTCTATAAAATCATCTAACGCCGAAAATGTCAACAACAGATCTTCAAAGAAGAAGCGATACTCTAAAAGATGTAAAAAAAGAAGAAACAGTCTGACTCAAGAAAGCGGTCACTCTGATCATTTAGAAGTACCCTGCCCTGTATATTCAAGAAGGACACGGCCGAATAAACAGCATAGTGGAACGTTGGCCTTAACTAATGCTGTCTCAGACAGTCAGGTCTCGCAGGCAGGGCGAGGGTGCAAGTCAGAGGGTCAGTGTGACCAGGGTATTTCCTCATTTCACCTGAGTTACAATAACCTGAGCAAGGATTACAAGTCTTTGGAGTGGGACAGGAGATATTTTCAGGTGAAGCTAATTTTCACAGATTATCCTGTTGATGTTCACATTGATGTGGCCTTCACGTCTTTCTTACAGTCGGCATCTCATATGTTCATCTTTATCCTCCTCATCCTTCTTCTTCTTCTTCTTCTTCTTCTTCTTCTTCTTCTTCTTCTTCTTCTTCTTCTTCTTCTTCTTCTGTCGGTCGGTCGGTCGGTCGGTCGGTCGGTCGGTCGGTCGGTCGGTCGGTTGGTCGGTCGGTCGGTCGGTCGGTCGGTCGGTCGGTCGGTCGGTCGGTCGGTCGGTCGGTCGGTCGGTCGGTCGGTCGGTCGGTCGGTCGGGCGGGCGGGCGGGCGGCCGGCCGGCCGGCCGGCCGGCCGGCCTGCCTGCCTGTCTGTCTGTCTGTCTGTCTGTCTGTCTGTCTGTTGATGTTCACATTGATGTGACCTTCACGTCTTTCTTACAGTCGGCATCTCATATGTTCATCTTTATCCTCCTCATCCTTCTTCTTCTTCTTCTTCTTCTTCTTCTTCTTCTTCTTCTTCTTCTTCTTCTTCTTCTTCTTCTTCTTCTTCTTCTGTCTGTCTGTCTGTCGGTCGGTCGGTCGGTCGGTCGGTCGGTCGGTCGGTCGGTCGGTCGGTCGGTCGGTCGGTCGGTCGGTCGGTCGGTCGGTCGGTCGGTCGGTCGGTCGGTCGGTCGGTTCATCTTGTCTGTTCTTCCTTGACTATGCACCTGTCCTGTCTTGTATCCTATCTTGCCCTGCATGATCCAAGACTTGACACTGCTGGTTGGGCTTGGAAAGCTCCAAACGATTCAGAACTGACATCATAAGAGAATGCAAACTCTTCTCTATTTGTTGCGAAAACTAAATCAGAACTTGCAGAGTCAGCACGTCCAGACGCTGATATGCTGCTTATTGGGCTTATGAAAGCTTCAAACGATTCATGACTGTACATATGTCCACATAAGTGCCAAACATTACTGATACATTACCATTACTGGCATATTTATGCCACTGGGAGTTTCTCTTTTAGTGTCCACATTCTAACGTTTCTGAAACAGATCTATCGCAGCATAAACATGTTATCATAACTGACACTCTATTTCCCTTTCTGACAGATTCAAGAGGAGATGGACCGGTGTTTGAAAGGCGAGTTCGGCCGCTGGGATCGTCGTCATTCGAAACAAGATCAGATCATAGAGACTTTACTTAGCAAAGACAAGATGGAAGATAAAGAAGACGAAGAATCTAGTAAAGAGAAAATAAATTTTACAAAGCCAGAGATCCTTATACCGGCACCAGATCCTCTAAGTGTACATTTCAACAATGTGTGCAACGTCTACAGCCATTCGGCTCCTAATTCTCCACTGAACAGACGTAATCACTATTCTTTACCGATAAACTTCAACTCCGATGAGGAAGAAGAATACGAACTTGAAAATGAGGAACTGTCGGATAAAACCAACGATGAAGAAGAAAATGACACCTCAGGATCATCAAATTCTGACACTGTTACAATTCGTCTGCATCCCCCCACTCCCAAAGTTAGGAGTATCCACGGCGATACACTCAACGTTGACAGTTATTGCTGCGAGAAGCTGCGAACGTGCAATACTCAAAATGTTATTAGTTTAAGCGTCCCCAGCCAAACTAACACAAAAACAGAACATTTGAATGGACACATTAATTTCCGGAGCAGCAGCAGTAGCAGCAACTGCAGTAACAAACAAATCATCAACTCGCTGGCAAACGGTACCAGCTTCCAAAGCGTGTCTCAAGCCAGCACTTCTCCAGTCCCAGATTTCCTGATTTCTAGCGAAGGGGAACTGACTCTCGAAGAGACTGACGACACTCTAGAAGACGTTCCCAGAGATCAACAGATGAAGCTTCGTCGCCCAAACCAACTCCAGTCTCACTACCGGTTTAACAGAACGCCGTCTCCTAGCAACCAATACCACGATTCCCACTACAAGTCCAAAAGAACTAATAGAAATACATTCCGGATCCATCGAGGAAAAGATTCCGTTAAACATATCCTGTCCTCAAAAACTGCTTCAAATGAAAGGAAAGCTTCTAAAGTATTAGGAATAATTTTCATTGTGTTTGTAATTCTTTGGACACCGTTTTTTGCTGTTAATATAATTAATGCGGCATGTGAAACATGTATGGACAATTTTAACAAAGAATTGATGTCACTGTTTCTATGGATGGGCTATATTGCATCTCTTGCCAACCCGATAATCTATACCATGTTCAACACGGCTTTCAGGCGGGCGTTCATTAAAATACTGACGTGTAAGATACGGCGGTCGTTTAGGAGTGCGACATGTGAATCACAATATATGAGTTACACCACCATGTTGGCGAGTGAAAGGCGGAACACTGTCACTGTTGTACTAAGGGACGAGTCAAGATAGCTGGACCCGCTTGTCACAGGATCGAAAAAGTTTGAGCAATCTAGTCATGATAGCTGGACCCGCTTGTCACAGGTAGCCAAAGTTTAAGCAATCTAGTCAAGATAGCTGGACCCGCTTGTCACAGGATCGCCAAAGTTTGAGCAATCTAGTCAAGATAGCTGGACCCGCTTGTCACAGGATCGCCAAAGTTTGAGCAATCTAGTCAAGATAGCTGGACCCGCTTGTCACAGGATCGCCAAAGTTTGAGCAATCTAGTCATGATAGCTGGACCCGCTTGTCACAGGATCGCCAAAGTCTGAGCAATCCAGTCAAGATAGCTGGACCCGCTTGTCACAGGATCGCTAAAGTTTGAGCAATCTAGTCAAGATAGCTGGACCCGCTTGTCACAGGATCGCCAAAGTCTGAGCAATCTAGTCAAGATAGCTGGACCCGCTTGTCACAGGATCGCCAAAGTTTGAGCAATCTAGTCAAGATAGCTGGACCCGCTTGTCATAGGATCGCCAAAGTTTGAGCAATCTAGTCAAGATAGCTGGACCCGCTTGTCACAGGATCGCCAAAGTTTGAGCAATCTAGTCAAGATAGCTGGACCCGCTTGTCACAGGATCGCCAAAGTTTGAGCAATCTAGTCAAGATAGCTGGACCCGCTTGTCACAGGATCGCCAAAGTTTGAGCAATCTAGTCAGGCCGTTTGCCTTGTTCTCTGATGGTTGTGAGTTTATCGTCGCCGCTGCTGGGCACATGTCACGAGCGCAGTATTATAATCTTGTTTTCTTGTGGGGTGAGGGAGATGGGGGGAGATATACTGAAAATATGTATAGAAGTCTTGTGAGATTACTTCTGGCAGTATGAGTAGAGTCCTGACGGCTGGCCATGCGCTGCTCACGGGATTGTTAAATGCTTATGATTGTATCATTCGACGCAATATATGGCAGTAGGAGGGATGTAACCCGCATCACTCGATAAAACTCAACTCAGAAACGTTTTCTGGATTTGATATCCAGTACATTTAGTTAAACTACTTGTTGATAAAGCGACAGTGCCAAACTCTGTCTGGGATCAAATACACAGTGCAATAGAACAGGCAGAGAATGCAGACGTTGAAAGACTAATTTAACGGACAAAGGGGGTGGGGGGGGGGGGGTGGTTAAGTTCTGGAAGATATTCAACATTGAGGGAGAAACGTAGGCGGTTTTATAGTCAGATTGCAGCCGGTACTATTGTCATGTCTTTGGCTACTGAAGAAAAGGACAACGCCTGCCATGGAACATCCCGACTGTAGTTATGTCAATTGTTCATTTATTGATTCATTCATCATTTATTCATTTATTCATTCATTCATCATTTATTCATTCATTCATCATTTATTGATTCATTCATCATTTATTCATTTATTCATCATTTATTCATTCATTCATCATTTATTCATTCATTCATCATTTATTCATTCATTCATCATTTATTCATTTATCCAGGTGATCACAGTTAAAATCACGTTTAGCAATGTGAGACAAGTAAAGATCGTTGGATGTCCGCTTCTCACAGGATTGAAAAAGGCTTACTAAAACCATCATGCCATTTGACAAGATTTTTAACAATAGGCAATAGAAAAGAAGCGGGGCGGAGGGGGGTGATAGGTGTTGTACATCAGGTGTGTATCAGGTAGGATTATCCAAAATGTTGAAGATCTTTTTCTTGCAGAATTGTAAGTGTCTCAGAAGTGTGCCACTAGACATCATCAAGTGTGACAGTTTTGAACGAGTCCAGATAATTGGATAAAGATTCAGTCTTGGGCACACACACACAAAAGAAATAATTGGCGGCATTGAGAAATGTGTTAACAAATGAGATTGACATTGGCACATTTACAAACAGTGAGTAATTCAAACATGTTCAACCTCCCTACGTTACGCCATGTGTTGACAGAAACAGATCATATCTGGATGTGGTGCAAGTGACTCTACGACTATTCAAGTTAAATCAATCAAATCGATTATTCTGGTGACATCCATGGCACAATTATCAAGCTTTTTGTTGGCGCTCTCCAGATAATGAGTTCGTTTTCTGACCGTGTTGCTTAGTTCAGGAGTTTTTCTGAAAATTTTTGGGGTCGTCGCTGGAGCTACAGAACTGCTACATGCGACGCTTTAGACAGTCTGCTAGCCACATTGATGGGAGAGACAGGGCTCATGTGATGAAACATGTTGCAATGAAGTCGATCCTGTCATGTTTAAAACTTTAAACAAATTAAATACGGAAGCTCAATTACTGTTTTATTTAGTTCTGAGTGAATATCCTGTACTTTGCATGTAAGATCAAATACAACTATTGTAATCTATGCTTTGAAGAGATGTCAGTTATCTTGCGCAGCTGCATACACAAACTGTGAAAACAGTCAGATTATATGTGAATAGAAGAAAGCACACTAAACAAATGTTAAGAGACTCCTAAAGAGATGCATCGATTTAGTCAGTCCAGTGTAGTCTAACACGTTTTGATATCAGCAAAAGAAAAATCATAACCTTCTTAAGATAACTTGACAAGGAACCGTAAGACAATGCGTTTTATGTCGTTCGGAGTGCTCAAGTGAAAACACTGATGACGATATTATATTTGGATAAGTGCAGTTAAGCAAAATAATCTTTGCTTCAGTAAAACTATTGCAAGAAATGTGGGTGAAAGTTCGTAACAAAGAAAGCTAGGATCATCATTATGATCATCATCATCATCATTGCACAGGTTATGATGAACCAAGATTTGTGGACTTTTCCGCCTGTAGAATTTAGGAGTAACATAAACTATATAAGATCCCATTATCAGGAGATCCCCATATCCGGAGATCCCATTATCAGCTGCAGTGTGATCCATGTTACTAAAATGTGTATCTTTGTTCCTTTCAGTGTTTAGCCGGTGATGGTTCAGTGTGGTTCCTCCATGATTGCTGTACGTTTTATTAACACCTCAAAGATGAGAATCAAACAGGCGTCAATCTCCTACACTCCGTTTAGCCGTATAACAACTATATTAGGGTATGCACAGAGTTACAAAGTGATGCATTGTCCACAATCTTCGTTTTGGGTTTCACTTGAATTAGATAAATTGTTGGATTTCTGAGACAATTCCGGTAGGCTTGTTTGTCATCACCCACTGACACGAAGCGAGTTTGTTGATGATTTTGAGCTATATACAGCGTCTCACATTATAACCCAACCTATGGGTTGAGTGTAGTTTTTGGGTCCTGTCCCCGGGTGAACCTCATACAAATGGTGGCACTGTGAGTCACCGAGTTTTAGACTCTCGGTGAGATGTCCTTTTGGGATTGAATATCATTATCATCTGGCTGATAGGCATGATCATATTCTTCTCTCTGCTCACCATGCATGAAACCAGATGGCCTGGTTAGATTTCTGCTTCTTATTGACTCGGCTGAGATTGGATCACTGAATTATCACTGATCATATAACTGGCACCGGGAAGTAGGAAGGAAGGGGGGGGTGGTGTCAATGGGAGCGTACTTTCACCTTCGAGTCGGTAGCGGGACGGATGTTCTTCCACAAAAATGTCTTTCGCTTCCCTGTCGACCCAGGCTTATGTGGGTACCATGTAATATCCTGGAAAGTAAAGGTGATCGGTGTGATGTTGACCAATTCGCCCTCCGACTGCCGATTAGTCGATCAGAATTGGAGTCTTATATCATCATACGCTCGAAGCCCCATTGACCTAAACGGGTTCATTACGTGTTTACGTAGGACGGGGTAAGTCAACCGGATTATCATTTCTCACTGTCTTCATACCTGAGAATAGATAGTCGGATTGTCAGTTCTCGGTCTTTTGGCTGAGATTAGGTCTTTGGATTATCATATTTAAACTGTCTTTAAAAAGGATTAGCTAAATGAAATGTAATTTCTCAGTGTTTGTTGACCATTTTTCGAAAATTGATTTGCTATTTATTGCTTTCTCTACACGACTAGATCGTTGAATTGTTGCTTCTTTGTTGCCTGTAAAACGGGACTAGATGCATGTATTATCATGTCTAAGGAACTGCTTGAATCCTACTTAAATATTCTCGTTTGCATTTCATGGTGTACACGATGACTTGTGATAATGATCAGAGTTGTGTTCGACTTCCATCTGTAAACATACAATACCTTTGTGAAATGATGTAAAAAAAATACACATGTTTACTGCATATTATCTTGTTCACACATTTTATTTTTGTTACAGTTATCTGTGTTGAAAACACACATGTCGACTTAATCAATAGTGTGTGTCGTGTGTGGGGTTGGGTTTAAAGGAGGGAACGGGTAAAAGGGGAGGGGGGAGGTTATAAAAAAACAGGAAGGATCATGTAAAATGGTTGCATCAGAGTGGAGGATGATAGTGAAATCATTCATCAAGCAATTTAAAAGTGAGTTCGTGGTGTATGGTATAATGTGCTTTATTGCAGTTTCATTGTCATCATGGTGTGTTTGTTAGCTTGTTTCCTTTAGATTGTTTTTTTTTCTTCTTACTTTTCTTCTTCTTCTTCTTCCTCTTCTTCTTCTTCTTCTTCTTCTTCTTCTTCTTCTTCTTCTTCTTCTTCTTCTTCTTCTTCTTCTTCTTCTTCTTCTTCTTCTTCTTCTTCTTCTTCTTCTTCTTCTTCTTCTTCTTCTTCTTCTTCTTCTTCTTCTTTTTCTTCTTCACCTTTTTTTTTCTCTTCCTCCTCCTTGTCCATTTTCTTCTTACTCTTCAATTTTCTTGTGTACCTTTTTTTTAATGTTTTTTTTTTTTTTTTTTGTCTTCTTTTTTCCCTCTTCTTACTTAGTATTATAATTGTTATTATTATCTTCTCTGTCCACTTATTCTTCCATTTCTAATTTTTGCTCTACTATGATGCGCCCACGGTCGTCATTGTAATTCTTCAACATATGGTTACAACGACTAATAAGAATAACGGGATTAATCAGAAGAGTATCTATCAGTAATAAGAACAATGGAGTCACTGCCACAGTTACTGATAAATT